TCTCGAAGAACGTCAGTTACTGCACAGGGTGAGTAACCTCCTCTTACTTGTACTCACTTAAAATCTCTTTGTAAGTAAATAAACTTGCTTTAGTCTTTAATTACAACTAATCCAGTGCTGTGACTTGTTTGGGTAACTATCTAAGGTAGCAGACTGTGTATGTTGATGCCCTTAGAGGGGCAATGGACATAGTAGATCTGGACTGTCCAGGAGAGGGCTGGACAGTGCAGAACATGTTTTGGGGGGAAAGTCCAGGACTGGGAGTGTGTTGGGGTCACCCTGGAAGTAGTGACCAAGGCTGGTGGACCCAATGTAGCGTGGGTGACAGGCTGCTGGACCAGGGCTGTGGCTATGCAGAGCCACTCAGGGCGTGACCTGCAGGCTGTTTGGCCCAGGTTGGGAGTTTCTGCACAGGATTGTGAGGCACCCCAGGCTGCAGGGCAAGCGGTGACACAGCCTCTCCCTGGTTGGGATCGCACCCTGGAACGTTTGATTCCCACACACTGGCTCACAGGGGGTTTTCTAGAGACGGAGACAGAACTTAGGACACACAAAGGCTGAGTTTAAACACATTCACGACCTTTATTTTAATTAAAATAGACAGGACCTGCTCTCGGCAGGGAGGGAGAAAGACTCCAACCCCACAGGGAGCGCGTGGAAGGGTCACTGGCTACTAGACTCCCCCGTGGAAGAGGGATGAGTTCTGGTGTGTTTAGTGAGGGGGAACTTTTAGTAATTTTTATACATTTTCCCCATAACGCTTTTGCCCTAGAATAAATGTATCAGCTGAGGAAGGGCCGTGTGCTATCTTGTAACAGCGGGAACATGCTGGGCATTGTGCTCAGAGAGAAAGCAAAGTGCAGGTGCTGGCTTTTAGACAGATTGGCTTGCTGGGGATATCATGGTGTATGGAAGGGAGCTGTGCAACTTTAAGTGCCTCGGTCAGGAAGTGAGACGGGGTCTCTGTCCAGAGACAGGGGGTGGCTGGAGACTCAAGCCCTGACCTGATGGAGGTGGGATAGAGATGCAGTTACCCTGAAACGGTGACAGTCTCCCCTAGAGAAGGGTCACAAACCGCGGCATTAGGATAATGGACGACTAGGACTGGACAAACCCTGGAGACAGACTAAGAAACAAGGAACCAGGCTGCAGCATGGAGGTGCCATGGAGGGGACTAGAACAAGGCTTTGTCACAGCTGGTCTCCGATTCCCTTGAGTTCACGAATCCCCTCCCACTGCTCGCTCCTCTCCCTTCGCAGGGGTATCAGGTTTACTGCAGATCCATTTTCTTGATGTGCTGCAGCTTGACGTGGTAACTGCGAGTTCTTCATCCAGGTACACGCAGTCAGCTCCGCCTTGTATTTCAAACCTGTAACCCAGAAGTAATTGGATCTAGAGTCAGTGTGTGCCAGGTACAGAGCGGGGGAGACACTCCAGGTCAGAGAGGGGAGTTGCGCACTCAGCCCCTCAGGATCCCCCTCCCTGCACCAGCCCCAGGCCCCGCTCCCGGCAGGAGGGAACGTTAAAACAGCCAGTGGGGCATTTCCATCGCCTCTGACCAACACAGAGAAAAAGAGACTCACCGACGGTCAAACTCGGTCCCGTTGGCCCATTTCCAGACCTGGCCCGTGTCCTTCCAGAGGCCGATCCAGTGGTCCAGTTTGCCTTCGTATGGCAACAGGGAATCCTTAGAAACCCAATAAAAGCAATCAGCTGTGTTAGACCCTGACTCTGTGCTGCTCCCCACCTTGGGCAGCCGGGGATTTCTAGAGGCCTCTTCCATGGTTATTGGGTGAAGGGATCAGATAAGTATTAACCCTTTACCTTCCTACGTTCTCTTTTTTGGGGGCTGTGGCACCTCCGGGGTGAAGGAGGAATTGAGCTGCAAGGTCACTGTCTGCCCAGCAGCCCCTTCTCAGAGCACAGGAGGGAGAGGGGGCTGCAGGGGGAGGGCAGAGAGACCCCTGCCACCAGGGCAGGTAAGTTGATGGGAAGAGGCCTAAAGCAGCCTCACCTCCAGCTGGATTCCCCCCGCCACACCCTGGGGCTGGGCTGAGCTGGGGGGGGGGGGGCAGGTTCTCATCCCCTCCAGCCCCAGGCAGCCCATTGGCCTGGAGCTGACTGAGCCGGCCCAGCCCTGCACAGGGGGAGTCTCCACCTGGGCTCTGGCAGATGCAGGGTCGAGGTGGCTGGAGCCCCAGG